AAATGTATGTTAACATATTCTTTTGTGCTACACATGTATTTCAATGAAACAAATAATTTTAAAAGGACAAAAGTTGATAATAAACATGAGTCATTAAGAAATATTTTAGTAATATTTGACAGAAGTAACAATACTTGGCAGCAAAAATAATTCAAGGTCAAAAGATTAAGGAAAGGTTAGTGTTGATCGCTCTCGTCGAAATGCTGGTCGGATCTAAAGCCACGTGATATTTTTTTTTCAATGCAATATATGGAGATAACGAACAGTATTCAAGCTCAAAAGTCCATTAAACAATACGAAATAGGAGCAGAGCAAACACGGACCTCCAAAAACTTCAGAGGTGGGATCAGGTGTCATGGAGGAGTGAGCATCCCCTGTCGACCGGTCACACCCGCCGTGTGCTCTTTTTTTTGTCATGATCAGGAAATAACGGAAAAATCCGACGACAATTCAGTGTGTAAATAATGGCCTAACAATTAGTATGAAAAACGTCAGTCAGCATTTGACTCAATGATAAATTGTATTTGCTGACAAGGTCATTGAATCGACCATAGAACTTACGAAATGATGACTTTAAACGAGACAGCTGATATTCTTGTTTCATGAACTTGTTTGTCAATAATTTACCTCGTTTTAGAATTGTACATACGTAGAGCATGCTCTTGCGTATCGAATCAACTGAGAGATACATACCCATGCAGGTGATGAAGGTATATTGCTGCATTAGTAAGGGAAGTTGACGATTGAAAAGTTAAAGTCATCACGTTTATCATAAAGCTTGGTTGTTAGATTACCATTAACGTCTTTTTCAAGTAAAATATCCAAATATGAAACAGAAGTGTCAGACTCTGTGGTATCTTTTATCTCAAGTTCACCAGGATATATCGTATCGACATAAGAATGGAAATAGCCATTGTTAATTGACAATACGTCGTCGATATATCTAAATGTCGAGTTGAAGGCCACAGCAAGTGTTTTCCTCTTTTCACGTACAAGATTTTGGACAAATTCTGCTTCATATGAATACAAAAATAAGTCTGCTAATAACGGGGCGCAATTGGTACCCATAGGAATTCCAATAGATTGATGGATGACCTGGTCTCCAAAAACCACATAGATATTGTCAATCAGAAACTCAGGCATCTTTTTAATGTTAACTTCAGAGTACTTGTGTGTACATTCAGAATGTTTTTTAACAAAATAATTTTGCAAATGACCAATGACAAGGTAAGTATATTTACGAGTTCCATTTTTATTGAAAAAGAAGCTGTCAATGATATCAAAAAGCCTAGACTTTAATTTATCGTGGGGAATGGTTGTGTATAAAGTTGAAAAGTCGGAAGTTTTTAAGCTGTTGATTTTGGTAAAATCTTGTGATTTCAAATTTTCCAAAAGTTCCTTGGAATTTTTAAGTATCCACATCTGATTTACACCACTTCTCGAATATATTGTTGCATAGTACTCCTGAAGTTTCTCCTTCACCACTGTTAATATCTTAGTGAGGAGTAAAGATAGAGGCTTGGTTGAACATTTACTGGAACCCGCTATGTATCTTTCTTTGTAAGGATTTTTATGAAGTTTCGGAATCCAATATACATATGGTAATTTAAATTCATTTTGGTTCTTTGGAATATTAAAAATATTCAAAACTGACATATGATTTTGAAGAATTTCTTCCTTAGAAAGGGAACTATGAGTATATGTTGGAATACCACTTGTAGAATTAAATCCAAGTTCCTCTAAAATACATTTAATATAATGAGCCTTAAAAAACAAAGACAATATTGTTACCTGCTTTGTCAGCAGGGACCAGTACGTACTGATCATGTAATCTATCTAATTCTTTTTTCACTTCTGGATTATTGAATACAGAAGGATAGATGGTTTTCATATGGCCTCTCAATCTTTTAATGCGCGATTTTAACATACATCTGATACATTTAATCCATTCTGACAAAGTGTCAAGGTCTTCTTTTTCATGTCTGGCCCATCGCCTGGCGTAGTCCTCTACAGAATCCATAATATTTATGAAATTCCGACGCGAGTTGAAGGATCTGAGTTCCCTAAATTTAGGACCTTTTAAAATTAGTGATCTAAGGTCCTCATTATTAACTATATTTACGTCACCAGTAATAACGTGTCCAGCAGGACTATAGTTATAGGGCGAAGAAGAACATGAACACGATGGAGGATTATGTTTCAGATATTCGATATCCAGGCCCTGTAAAGTTTTCTTATAATTTAAAAGTTTGGAAGCAATAGTCGATGTATATTTGTTATATTTCATTTGTTGCTCTATTCACAAATACAAATTAGACTTTCCATATAAGGTCAGTGATATGTAAATACCCGGGTACACTGAAGGAAACAGATGGTGTTTTATACCTTTTCTTTCAAACGTTTACCCTGAGCGCAGGCTTACCAAAAAATTCTCCCATGAATATGATGAAATTGCAATTATACACATACTGAACTTTTAAGAAATCTGGACAACAATGCGGTCACAATGTATTACGGATTTATAAATGGGACAAAGTTTGAACATCAATGGGGATTCGTGAATTGTTATGACCTCTCTTACAAAATACGACTTTGTTCTTCATTTTAGCTGACTTTTATTTCGAGATATGTTATATTTGCTTATAAGGTCATTATATCGACCAAAGAATTTACGAAATGCTGTCTTTAAACGAGGTTGTTGAAATCCATGTAACATCAACATATCTGTCAGTGGCCTGCTTCGGTTTAAAAATTGATCGAACTCAGAGCATGCTCCTGAGTATCGAATTAGAGTGGAGATGTTAACCCAATATACAGGTGATAGTGGAATATTTCTACATAAATAAGGAAGTTTAACGATGGTTAACCTGGTCAATTGTTATTTCGTACCAAAACTTTTCCTGCAAATGAAGCACGATGGCAATACAGCAAAAAAGTGGATTCTTGTAAAATAAAAAATCTGGGCCTAATTAATGTTTTATTCAAGTAAGTGTCCATCAGTTGTCTTTCTTTCCTTTCTCTAAAGCGTAATGTTAAGCGAGGAGACCGGTCAAGACCTCCACCACCATCAACCACAGATGCATCCAGAAGGGTAAATATACATATGATGCTCCAACATATTAGCGCCAATAGTTGTGTATAGTAAATTTGAGTGCTATATCGGAAGAAATACAATTATACACTTGATAGCAGAAAAAAAACTAAAATATACCTGTGTTTCTAGACCTAACTCCCCTTGTAAAAGAGAAACGAAGGCAAAAATTAATCAAAATGAATGTTTGTGGAAAATCTCTCTGAGTCTTATTAAAGGATTTATTCCATTCGGTATTCGTGAATTGTCCTTCTTTCCTTTCTTTACAGCGTGACGTCAAGCGAGGAGACCGGTCAAGACCTCCACCACCATCAACCACAGACGCATCCAGAAGGGTATATATACATATAATGCTCCAACATATTAGCGCCAATATTTGTGTATAGTTAATTTAAGTGCTATATCGGAAAAAATACAATTATACACTTGATAGCAGACAAAACTAAAATATACCCGTGTTACTACCCCTAACTCTCCTTGTAAAACAGAAACGAAGGCAAAATCTATCAAAAATGAATTCTTGAAAAAGTCTTATTAAAGGATTTATTATGTTCCCCAAACGAAGTTTGGGAATATATTGTTTTTACTCTGTTTCTTACTATTATTATTATTATTCTTTTTCCCTACTTTCTTCTCCGCGGTACTTTTTTGTCCGGGAGTGTTCTCATAGAACCACTCATCCGATTGACATGAAAACTTTTTAGGATTAATAGGCATGTTGTGTAGGTGTTCGGAACGAAGGTCGTTTTGCGCCCACATGCATGCACGTGCGCGCGCGTGCAATGAGTGAAATGACTGATATACTTGATGAAGCCGTAACTTTTATATTTCTTGATGAATTGCTTTCAAACTCAAAATATAAAGATACATTAGTAGTCTAGACAAGATGACATGGTCAAATTAGCTTGAACTCATGCGCATGCACGTGCGCTCTTCTCTGATCGGCTGATACAAAAATCTCAATAATTTCCTTGTTTTTTGACAAAATACTTTGAAATTTTGAATATAAGTATATATTTTAGGGTGCTACAACATGTAATATAGAAAATTTCTTGAAAACACGCGCATGCAGGTATGTTGCAATCTGATTGGCTGAAAATTCAAATGTCTATAACTCCCTTGGTTTTCAACACTACAGGATGAAATTTACGACATGGATAGGCACACAGAGCTCCTACATAATGATACTATCAAAATTGAATGCAAGGTCATGCATGCGCATATGCTGAATTCTGACTGGTTAATACTTAAAGGGTTACATCTCTCTTATTTTTCAATAAAATTCTTTGATATTTAACACAAATGTGTATATTGTGAGACACTATAAGAAAATTAATGTAAAAAATGTAGAAAACATGTGCAAGCACATGCGCTGAAATTTGATTGGCTAATACCCATATGGCTATATCGAAGTAGTTTTCTAATAAAATGCCCTCAAAAATAAAGTGTCCATCTATATTACAAAAGTATGTGTAATTTAATGAAGCTTGTAGGGAATGGGGCATCATAACGGATTGGGGAGCCGTTTGGGGGAACACCTGTAACGGTTCCCACTACAATTAGCACTAGTTCAATTTGGTATTCATGAATTGTCCTTCTTTCCTTTCTTTACAGCGTGACGTCAAGCGAGGGGACCGGTCAAGACCGCCACCACCACCAACCACAGATGCTTCAAGAAAGGTAGGTACAAATATATACGGGGGGGGGGGGGGGTTAAGTGCCGTTTTTATTTTAAGCATTATTACATAAACTCTTCTGCGAGACAGACGCTAAATTTGTTAAACAAGAAAATGTATCTGATAAAATTTCCTTTCGGGCGAAGTCAGATGCTTTATTTTGTAGCTTTCATACATTATTCTTGTTTTTTTTTTCAAGCGAGGAGACTCGTCACCAAGACGGCCACCACCAGGATCAAGAAGACCACCACCATCAACCACATCAGAGCCAGAAAAAGTAAATATTTAATCACTCATTTTCCTACTTAGATAAGGATCATAGAAAAGGTTATGTAGTAATGAGTTCACTGCATTAAAAACGACGTCAAGCGAGGGGACCGGTCAAACCGCCACCACCAACAACAACAGATGCATCAAAGATGATAGTATACACTTATCCACTGGCTGTGAGTGGGATAGCTCTTTTATCAAACCTGCGACAGGAACTATTCCCCGAGGGCTTGCCCGAGGGGAATAGTTCCTGTCAAGGGTTTGATGAAAGAGCTATCCCACTCACAGCCAGTGGATAAGTGTTTTATTATACTGATGTATATCATAATTTCTGAGGGTTTGTATTACCTCATACTACAGCTTTATAGGCAAAACATGAAAAGAATAATTATTTTAGAAAGATTTGAACAAGTATTTGGAATAAGATAACACTGCAAGAATGAGCTGAAATCACGATGACGTCACAATGCTACTGAAGTCAGGATGACATCATCAGTGTATAGATTGATTATAAGAAATCAAAATTGGCGGCAAAAATTGCATGAAAATTTTCCAAGGGGTGGATAGCACAAACTATACCCCGGGGTATAGCTTTGCTATGCGTGGAAATTTTCAGACTATAAAAGATAGTATTTTACCTTCTTAACTTTATATAGGAAACATTTTAACTAAAGTATAATAAATACAAATATATACGTTTTTTTAAGTGCCGTTTTTATTTTTAGCATTATTACATAAACTCTTCTGCGAGACAGACGATAAATTTGTTAAACAAGAAAATGTATCTGATAAAATTTCCTTTCGGGCGAAGTCAGATGCTTTATTTTGTAGCTTTCATACATTATTCTTGTTTTCTTTTTCAAGCGAGGAGACTCGTCATCAAGACGGCCACCACCAGGATCAAGAAGACCACCACCATCAACCACATCAGAGCCAGAAAAAGTAAATATTTAATCACTCATTTCCCTACTTAGATAAGGCTTATAGAAAAGGTTATGTAGTAATGAGTTCACTGCATTAAAAACGACGTCAAGCGAGGGGACCGGTCAAACCGCCGCCACCACCAACAACAGATGCATCAAAGATGATAGATACAAATATATACGTTTTTTTTAAGTGCTGTTTTTAGTTTTAGCATTTTTACATTAACTCTTCTGCGAGACAGACGATAAATTTGTTAAACAAGAAAAAGTATCTGATAAAATTTCCTTTCGGGCGAAGTCAGATGCTTTATTTTGCAGCTTTCATACATTATTCTTGTTTTTTTTTTTTTCAAGCGAGGAGACTCGTCATCAAGACGGCTACCACCAGGATCAAGAAGACCACCACCATCAACCACATCAGAGCCAGAAAAAGTAAATATTTAATCACTCATTTCCATACTTAGATAAGGCTTATAGAAAAGGTTATGTAGTAATGAGTTCACTGCATTAAAAACGACGTCAAGCGAGGGGACCGGTCAAACCGCCGCCACCACCAACGACAGATGCATCAAGGATGATAGATACAAATATATACGTTTTTTTATGTGCCGTTTTTAGTTTTAGCATTTTTACATAAACTCTTCCTCGAGACAAACGATAAATTTGTTAAACAAGAAAATGTATCTGATAAAATTTCCTTTCGGGCGAAGTCAGATGCTTTATTTTGTAGCTTTCATACATTATTCTTGTTTTTTTTTTCAAGCGAGGAGACTCGTCATCAAGACGGCCACCACCAGGATCAAGAAGACCACCACCATCAACCACATCAGAACCAGAAAAAGTAAATATTTAATCACTCATTTTCCTACTTAGATAAGGCTTATAGAAAAGGTTATGTAGTAATGAGTTCACTGCATTAAAAACGACGTCAAGCGAGGGGACCGTTCAAACCGCCGCCACCACCAACAACAGATGCATCAAAGATGATAGATACAAATATATACGTTTTTTTTATGTGCCGTTTTTAGTTTTAGCATTTTTACATAAACTCTTCTGCGAGACAAACGATAAATTTGTTAAACAAGAAAATGTATCTGATAAAATTTCCTTTCGGGCGAAGTCAGATGCTTTATTTTGTAGCTTTCATACATTATTCTTGTTTTTTTTTCAAGCGAGGAGACTCGTCATCAAGACGGCCACCACCAGGATCAAGAAGACCACCACCATCAACCACATCAGAACCAGAAAAAGTAAATATTTAATCACTCATTTTCCTACTTAGATAAGGCTCATAGAAAAGGTTATATAGTAATGAGTTCACTGCATTAAAAAATAAAATATCATTACAATGTAAATCATATACGGTACCAATTTTGATGCACCAGATGCGCATTTCGACAAATTATGTCTCTTCAGTTCTTCAGTGATGCTTGCAATATTACAACAAATACTTTTTTGTACTTTTTAAATTTTTATTTGTAATTATTTTAATTATGATTATTGAATTAGTGATAATTTATCTTTTACCAGCGCAATAACAAACAGAAAGACCCAGTTAATCAGGAAGACTTGGGTGAGTTATATTTTCTAACGCATTGATCGTAGCATAAGTACAATTATTCATAAATTGCAACACAATTCATCGTTCGTATTTTCGTTCAGCATATTTAATCAACTTTTTAATAGCTGTTATGCCTTTTATTTCAGACCTCAATATCATCAAACGGATTTTGGAAGAGTATGTGGATGAAAGAGACAACTAGAAATGAATTTCACTTGAGTTTCGCCAGAAATGCTGAGATCATGTTTATTTCTCTTTGATATGTAGTTCTCTGTTTCTTCTGTTGTGGATAAATTGTACCATATTCATAGCTATTATTTGTTCTGTGCAATATTTCTGTAGAATAAACTCTTGAATTGTAAAATATTGTTTTTGCTATGAAGAGTAATGTTTTCAGGAGAATGAAATATGGCGATAACGAACAGTATTCGAGCTCAAAGTCCATTATAACTCTACAAATCGGGAGCAGAGCAAATACAGACCTCCAAAAGTATGACAGGTCTGATCAGGAGGAGTAAGCATCCCCTGTCGACCGGTCACACCCGCCGTGTGCTCCTTGTCATTCACGATTGACCATTCTCCTTGACAATTCATTGATGATGGAATATGTACAGCTATAAATGGAAGAAGGGTTAAAGAAAGAAGAGATACATTTGCAGATAAAATACTGAAGTGAAGATTAATAGGAGAATGAATGGAAAGCATTCACATTGATAAAATAGATGGAATAAAAAATTGAAATAAAATAATTGAAAAGAATTGAATAAAATAGTGGAAAAGCAGGTCATGAGACACTATACTGAGGGGGCACAATCCTGAATAAATTTTATTCTCTACATTTTAGTATGAAATATATGGAGATAAGAAACAGTATTCAAGCTCAGAAGTCCATTAAACAATACAAAATAGGACCAGAGCAAACACGGACCTCCAAACATCAGAGGTGGCATCAGGTGCCATGGAGGAGTGAGCATCCCCTGCCGACCGGTCACACCCGCCGTGTGCTCCTTGTCATGATCGGGAAATAACGGAAAAATCCGTCGACAATTCAGTGTGTAAATAATGGCCTAACAATTAGTATGAAAAACGTCAGTCAGCATTTGACTCAATGATAAATTGTATTTGCTGACGAGGTAAGTATATAGTATGAAATTATTAAGGGTCCACCCTCATGTTACGATTATGAATGATTATACATCCCTTGATTACATGAATATTCTTTGTATTAATAGAGTAATTTTTTTTTCGTGAATTTAAAAAAACTACTTCAAATTTTTTTTGAATAAATAATTATGTTTTACATTGTAAATCTTTTCATCCTAATATATCACAATAAAGCAATATACATTAGACATCAAGACAACAGAATACCAAAAATAAAAGATATATTAAAAGAAAAAGAGAAAAAAAATCAATTTAGGAAAAATAAATATATAACACATGATCACAAATAATAATAGCCTACAATTGAGGAGTGGGGTGAGGGGTTGAAATCTTCAAATAAAAAGAAAGAAATACTTACAGCCACAATATCTGCTGAATTCTCTGTACTTAACCTAAAACTTAAAGAACTAATTCGGTAAAAGAATTGGGACATGAATTCGAATTCCATAAAAATTAAACACTACTTTTATGAAATCAGACCATAAGTCTTTGTTTTTAAACTTAAGAAGAAAAAGTCAAAATAACGATAGCGATGAATCCCATAAATTTATTTTAATATCTAAAGTAGTAAGTGTTTTGCCTCAATATAATTCCTGTAGATAAACAATGCAGTCTTTTTGTAAAATTTTAAAACTTTCCGAAGTACTCTGCAAACATACCTTAAATAACAAACTTGAATGGCAGAAAGTATCTCTTTAGGTAATCTATAATATATACATGTGTTTTTAATTGCTTAAAAAGTGAATTTCTAATGAAATAAACAGCGAAGAACTAATAAATATTTAATGTAAAAGGTGAAGATAGGGAAGTGATCGATCTTTTAAAAAAAAACTACAAACAATACAAATCAGTTAACAGTGCACAAAACCCGGATTCCTAGAATTTCCAGGTACCTAGCTGGAGTAGGCATCCCCTGGTCACACCCGCCACGAGCCCTATGCATTGATCAGGTAGATGGAGAGACGAGAATTTGATTAGTCAACTTTAGTATAAAGAAACGCTTAACAATCGGTGTAAAATATGTCAGTGTCAAAATACGGGCCAATGGCAGGTTATATTTGCTAACAAGGTCATCATAACCGCAATAGAATTTATGAAATGCTGACTTTAAACGAGGTTGTTGAAATCCCTCTATTATCAACTGATTTATCAAAAGTCTGCATCGGTTTAAAAATTTATTGTACTCAGAAACTGAACTGGACCTCTGTCAGTCTTACTCTAAAAATTAATTGTTCATATAATTTTGACGGCTGTGACCTCAAAATCAATAGGTGTCATTTACTCCTTACTAGGGAAACCAATGCACCATGTCTGTTAAGAAAAACGTTTTCAAAATATTGAGCAAACAATATCTTCCTATGTTTTTAGTAGTTTAACACTTGGCTTTTGACATTATGACTTCAAAATCTACAATGGTCAACTAGTAAACAACTTCTTGAGGTAAAACCAGTGTGCCAAGTTTTATGTGAGACAAGCCTATTGTTTTCAATACATTGAGCGGTCAATTATCTTCCCTTGACCTTGTGACCATTAAAATCAAGAGAGGTCATCTCCTCCGTAATGGAAACAAGTTTACCAAACTTAAAGTCTGTCAAGAAAAGGGTTTTCAAAATAATGAGTAGTCAATATATTTCTATGTCCAGTTTGACCCTGGACATAGTGACCCAAAAGTAATCTTGGCCATCTACTCCTTAAGGAAGCTCTAAACACTGCACACTAAAGAGTTCAAATTGTAGGGTAGTTTTATGCAGTTAGAGTTATCTGCCCTTAGAAGAAAGATAGAAAAAATGGTTATTTACAATTAATTACACAATTTATTATAAATTAAAATATTCTGAGCATTATATTTGACTAAGATTAAGTAATTGAATACATTATTTTCAATATTTTTCCTAATGCAAGTGAACAACACTGATTTCTGTTCATGAATAGTCCATTGTCTTTGAACATTTTTCCTGCGGAAATAAGGCAGGTACCCTATGTTGAAAATGAACTAAATAGTCTCAATATGCACACCTTTATATGATATATTTTTCTCCAAGTCCAAAAAGCACTTTTTGTTAGTGTTTAGAGCTTCCTTAATGAACAAGTTACCTAGATTAATGTCCCTCAAGCAAATGGTTCTCAAGACATTGAGCTGTCAAGATCTTCCTAAGCCTGGAGAAGTTTGACCTTTGATCTTGTGACCTCGAGATCAAAAGGGGTCATCCACTTTACAATGGCATCAGTGTGCCATGTTTTATGTCTGTCAAGCAAAGGCTTCTCAATGACATATGGAGATAAAAACAGTAAACAAGATCAAAAGTCCATAGAACCAATCAAATCGGGTGCAGAGTAGACACGGTATTCTGAAACATCAGAGGTGGGATCAGATGTTATGGATGAGTAAGCATCCCCTGTCGACCGGTCCCACCCGCCATGTGCTCATTGTCATGATCGGGCAAACGGTAAAACCCGTAAACAATTAAGTTTGTTTATAATGGCATAACAATTAATATGAAAAATGTCAGTCAGCATGTGACTTAATGAGGGACAGCATTTGCTGACAAGGTTGTTGTATCGACCATAGAACTTGCGATATGATGACTTTTAAACGGGACTGTTGATATTTTTTTCCATCAACTTTTTTGTCTCGTTTTAGAAATTGTACATACGTAGAGCATGCTCTTGTTTATCGAATCAACTGGGAAACAGAAACCCCATATGTTGGGTATAATGCTATATAAGTAAAGGCAGTTGACGATTGAATAGTTGAAGTCATCAAGTTTATCACATAAAGTTTGGTTGTTAGGTTACCATTAATGTCTTTTTCTAGTAAAATATCCAAATATGAAACATATGTAAATAAATTTAGACATCTCCCTCTCGATCAAATTTGCTTGACAGACATTAAATTTGTTATAACAAATTCAAAAATATGATGTAAATTAGTTGTATCAAATTTGACAATGCGCTATACCGAATTAAAAAAAAACATTTATAGGTCTTAAATAGTGTTTTGAACTATATAAACTAATGTATATTAAATTTTTATTTCTACAGTAAGGCTAATATGACATCATTTGCAAGTCACGTCACCATATGCAGAAAGAGTATCTATACAAGTTTTTATTGATAAACTTAAATTTTTGGTGTTTTTCACTCAAAAATAGCATAATTTCTTATATCTGACCACTGACAGGTGGCATGAGGTTTGATTTTGTTAATATACTTGCGTCAAAATTTAATTCTAATGAGCTTCGCTTAGCGTTCACACGGAGTTAATGTAAAGGCATTTGATACGCAGTAAATTAATTTGAATTAGTTTAATTCGCATTAAATTTCAAGTACATTCCATTCATTTGAATTAAACTCCACCTGTGAACAGGGCAGTTGTCTCTTGTTGTCGTGTTGTCTCTTTGATATAAACCATTTCAAAATACTCAATGACTAATAAAAATATAACTAAAACATTGAAATTTCCCTTATTCAGCAAACACTATATACAGTATTTTTTCCTATGAAAAAGGTAAGCTTTTCAAGTATAATTTTAAAGAAACCGTTTAAGAAACAAAATACTACACATTCTTTCTGAGAATGTTCAATGCTGGCATATTTCTGACCTTTCATACATTTTGGTCAACAACTTCGAATGTTAACAATTTGTCGAAGTATGAGAAAAAAATCATGACAAGTTTGACGATATAAAAAAAGGACTTTTGAATGACATAACTATTGCAACTTGCAGAAAATTTGTAATGGAAAAAGTTCCGTGATTATAAGGAATGGTCTACCTCGTCCCTGTATTTCTCCATTCAGATCTTGATATTTTTATTGGGTCTGGGTATAAGTAAGTAAATTAAGCAAGCAAGTAAATGATTTATTATAGTGTTATGTGTGATTTACAATTATAAATATTTGATATTAATAATAAATCAGACATCCGGCTCATTTGTCACTGTAAACAAAGATAACAAAGGAATTGTGTGTTCTGATACCGATGTGTAAGCATAGATTTAAAAAAGTAGTAAAAAATATAATAAAAATAAATAAAAACTGTCAAACAAACAACGACACACTCAGGCGTGTCTATTGACTACTCTCCACTGAAAATCAT